AGTAATCCTTTATCACAGTCACTCCAGTAACATGAAGCCAACCACTCTCCCTACCCCAAGAAAATCCACTTTATTATGAATTATTTCTGTATGTAAAGGAAAGCCATATATTACCTAGAAAATTTCTGGTCAAAATACCAACCTTATTCCCTTCAGTGTTTTTGTTTTTGTTTTTCAGATCAGGTTATATTCTCAGTTGGTGTTAAAAACGATAAATTTTTCTTTTTTTCTGCATATTAAATATTCAGCTCATTTTCCTTTCACCAAGAGTGAAGCTAATAAAGTTAAAAACCATTTGAAGATTTCCTGTGTTTTAAAAGCAATCCAGGTTTTTCTGAAAGATAATTGTTTGTGTCATAGAGACTAATCCATTAGTTAAATCTAAGTTAACAGATATTTATTGTCTGCAATATGCAAGATGAGCACGACATGGTCCTTTTCCTTCTCTCCGTGAGCTTATTATAACCTAATTGGAAGCAGGAAGGGGAAACTAAGACAGATAAAATATTAACTATAAGGCAAGACAACATTCAATGATGGGGGAGCTCCCGTGCACTTGGAAGTGTCAAGGAAAAAACAAACTTCATGTAAGAGGTGGCATTTGAAATGGGCATTGAGTAGTGAGTAGAATTTCAGTAGGTGGAGATGAAACAGAACATGCTTGGATGAAGAAAGAACAAAATAATACGGAGGTGCAAAAGGTATATACTGGAAAGAGCAAATATCCTCTGTTCATGGGAATATAGTGTACATAGGGACGTGGAAAGAATTATAGCCACAAATGTATGTTAGGACCTTAATTAGTGTAAACAAATAGGCTGTGGTGGGCATTTCAGCTTTTCAGCAGTATGATATATTAACCTAAAAGTGAAAAATAATATTTAGATTTATGGATAACTGTTTTCCAAATAACCTATAAATGGCATCTAACCTACTCTGTAAAATGGTGTACACTAAAATAATAATAGTAAACTTATTAAGTCTAATAAGTAATCATACATAAAAGGAAAAGTAATTCCTGTCCTCCATTCTCTGGTTACTACCATGAGAAAGCAAATGATTTTTATTTCTGCCTTGTTCAGTACAAACATTTTGAAATACATTTAAAAAAAAAAAATAGATGCCCTAATACATTATGTTTAAGAAAACTGCATAACTGGAAAATATAGAAAGCTATGTCTTATAATTAATATTTCTTCACTGTAAAATATCCAACTTTTCACTCCAGGTTTTCCATTATAAGAACACCTATATGCTCAGAGATTTATTGAGAATCAACTAATAGGCATGAAATGTTTAAGTGTTACACATGTTTATATGCATATGCTCTACACTTATTATAATAAATCAAGAATTAAATGAATAAAAAATTTTATCAAAAGTTGTTCTGGGGAAGGCTGGGCTTTACCTCAAGTAAGAGAATTTTTCATTCTGATTGCATAGTCTCATTTCAATCTCTTTCTGTTTAAATTAAGCCAGATACGTCACCAGTTTTTACTAATTACTAACTAAATAAACTATTTTTAAAATAGGTGTATAGAAAACCTAAGGAAATAATGAGAAATCCAAAGCTACTAAATCTGAATTTTAAAAGATTCTTGTTACATGTATACATATCCTTGATTAAGTAGGGAATTCAAAAAGCATCCATGTTTTTTAAAAAATAAACACTTTGCTGTAACTTTTTAGATTTTTTAAGTAATGTTTCTTCTTAACCTGAATTATTCAGGTGATTATTCTTATCACATACCTAACTTACGACCTCGGAATGGTAGTTCTTGAATCAGAAAATGACTGCCAGATACTTGTTTCTGAGCATTATTGGTAAGACCTTTTCAAGTGCTGCAGCTATCAGTATGTATATGTATCCAGATATTCTTTACTTGTTACTTTGTGATGACTTGGATGTAGACTATAAAGAAGGATATTAATTAAATAATATTTTGTTTTAGATTCAACCAACTCTGGAGACAATATGTATACTTTAATGAATGCAGTACCTCCTGGACCTAACAGACCTAATGTAAATATGACTTTTTGTTTTGCTTTTGAAGACTTTGAAACTTGAAGTAAATTCCATATCCAGGCTATTATCCAGACTGTATATTTGATTTTCCAGGAGCTTATTGGATAATCACACACACACACACACACACAAACAAGTTTATCTCTTACTCTGGGCTGAAAAAACAATGCATAATATATGTAACAGAAGATTTTTATATTGAATGAATATAAATGTAACACTGAGCCTAATCAATTATAAAATGTTGGTTTCTAGTCTTATTTTTCCAAAGAATACTTACTGATTAGTACTATTTGCAAATAATGAGTAATTTGTAATCATGTAGGTTAATGTCATTTTTAGCATCACTAAATTTTATTTAATGTGATCATCTGTGTTTTTGTATCCTGATAAT